GGACCTGCAGGCAGCAGTGGGACCCTCAGCAGCGCAGCATGCAGCCGGCAGGAGAGGCTCCCTGCTGGGCTCCAGGATCCCCTATGAGAGGCTGTGGCCAGCAGGAGAGGCTCCCCAGCTCCAAGGATCTGAGCAGTGACCTGAGAGGTTCCCAGCTCTGCTTCCAGCTCCTCCAGTGAGAGGCCGGGCAGCTCGATGTGAGACCGGGGCTCCGGGAAGGTCAAGACCCCTAGCAGCTTGGTACAGTACCAGCACTGGTGGCTGTGTGGTAGAGTTTCTGCCATGTGGGAGATTGGAGATGAAGTCCCAGCTGGGGTGACTGGGGGTGAGTGAAGTAACAGGGAGAAATCCTTGTTGCAGTAGAAGGGATCATTGTGTTTTCCCTCTTTCCCCCCCCTCCAGGTACCTAGGCCTACAATCCTTGTCATTTGACATTTTGTATTTTGTGCCTTTTATATTTCCCCAACCAGTATTGTTTGTTCTGCTGTTTGTGTTTTACATTTTGTTAACCCTGTCTTTTGTCAGTGATTGTAAGTGTCTAACCTTTGTTGAATCCTGCCCCCTCGGGGCTTTCTAGTGTCCGCTATACCCTCTGATTTATGCCTGTTATGTTCCCAGTACTGTTCGCTCATTAAAAGGTACATGGTTAAGGCCCCACTGGTGATCTGGCTCTGCTCTATAGGGGGAGGAGAGTCCCTACACCTCCCACAGCGCTTGTGCACCTGCTTTGATCCCTTCAATTGGAGAGAGGGTACCTCTTGGAGTACCGCCCAGGTTACAGATCTTTTAAAATCCATTTAAATGTCAGGCCTCACTTCTTTGAAGCCCACAGACAATATTCTAAGACAATGAAACAAACTTTATCTACCCAGTAGTGCAACTGAAGGTTGGGGAGGGGGGCATGACTTTGGCAGCAGCCTTAGGGGGTGCAAAAATTGTCACCACTGCAACAGCAACTAACTGAGCCACCACCATCAGCACTGGCACTGCCCCATGCATCATAGCTGTCCCACAGTGCAGGGCTGCCCTGCTATGCCTCTGACTTACCTATCCTACTAAGTACATGTGCAACCAAAATAAATGCAATTCTATAGAACATTTTTTTCTAGGCTTTCCTGTGCATTGTATGTTGTCCATGTAGGTAGGTAATAAGCACCATGGGCAAATGACCACTTTCTGGATCAGAAATATTAAATAACTACCTAACCATGCATTGAATGAGGCCAAGGCCCCACTGAGAAATAGTACATGATCATGAACTGAAAGACTATCATAATGCATATGTGTAATTATGCACAGGATGCTAAATTAAAGTTGCATAGGCAACCTTTATTCCAGCTTTCCCTAACTTTTGAAGGCTTGATTTTCCAATCTTAATATTTTTATGTCATTTTTGGGTGTAATGTGAATATTATCATACCACAGGCTCCCAAATTGAGGCCAGTGCTGTTCTGAATATTTATTAATGTTCTGGAAAATATAAGGAATAGTGAAATGGCAAAATCTGAAGTTACATGAACTTATTCAAGGTACCCCAAGCCAGAGATGACCATGGAATTCTAGAAGGTTCTAGCTAACATAAACAATAAGACAACAAAGGTGTGGCAGTGTTGATAAAGGTAAAGGACTATGTCTGGGAAACACTATCTTGCAGGGAATAATTTAAAGTATCATATTGTTGCTGAGTTTTAAAATAAAAAGTCAGGGAAGAATCTGGGTGTCACTGGGAACAGGACAGTGCAAATCACTTGTCAAAACAACAAACAAGATGATAGGATGAAATAGGATGGATAACACATAAAGCAATACAGGCAGTCCTTGAACTTACAACACAATTGGTTCCTGAAAATTGCGTCTTAAGTCAAAATGTAGCTCAGAACCAATTTTCTCATAAGAAACAATGTTCTAAATGGGGGATTGGTTCCTGAACCAAGCCCCGATACCCTGTTTTCACCAAAAATACCCCAGAATTTTGTACTTGATCAATTATAGATGAGTAATATAGCTACATTAATGTATTTATATTGTAAATAGCAATCATATTGATTTGGCAGGACTTCTTTGAGGTGACTTTGCTGGGTTTTTTGAAAGGCTCTTGGTTGGACTTTCTAAAGGGTTGTTGGCTGGAGTCTTAGGAGTTTTGGCTGCAGGTTTTTCTGGAGTCTTGTCTGCTTTCTTAAAGAAAGCGTCCAAGGAAGTTTGGACAGATGTTCTCCAGGGAGATGAGCGAACTTGTTTGCTGGCAAGGCGTTGCATTGGATCAAGTGTTGTCAAGTCGAAACTGATGTCATAAAGTTGAAACAGGGTGTCAATTTCTAAACGTTGTAAATGTGAAATGTTGTAACTCAAAACATTGTAAGTTGAGGACTGCCTGTAATATGTAATTATAATTTAATGGTATACCTGGAATATTGTGTTCAGCTCTGAGCATTCTATCCCTAAAAGGATAACCATCAGAGACAGAAGAGTTTCAGAGGCAGGTAATGCATATGGTCAGAGGCATATAAACGCATCCAGAGACTGAGATGTATTTTAGGGTAGAGACAAGATGTATGTGAAAGCTATACAAAATATCAAATGGTCTATAGAAAGTGATCAAAGATCAAAGGTCTGCTGAAACCAAGATGCCCAACTGGGCTAGCATGGTTAAGGCTTACTAGTTTCTGTAGCCAACAGCACAAATGCCATTGATGCCAGATTGCAGCTGATTGCCCAATCTGATACCCAGGTACCCATTTATAGCTCAGGCAACTGAGGCATGTTTTGGCTTAAGCATTCCTATTTTACTTTTGCTTAGACTACAAGAAGAATTTTAATGGATTTGAAAGGCACTGTATCAAGGACTGGCAAAGGGAATGCTTTTCCACATAGCACAATGAGTGGATATAACACATTTTCTCAAGATATAAATAAGGTCAGAAGATTAGCAGGACTTGACACTACTGGCAACAACATACCAGACAAGGTGGAGCATTTTTCTGACCTGGTATGCAGTTCCTGTGTAAGTAAGTATATGGTTCTTTCTGTATATGGGAAAAATATAACAAGGGAACAAAACTCTAGCACTTGGCATTTTGGCACTAAACAATGGGCCGTATTCATCCTTGGTGAACTGCCACTAATTCCATTACTTTTTTAACAGGGTTCCTGCTAGGTTCCATATCTAAACCTGTATCCCTACAGATAGATATTGGCAATATATATGTCTCTCCAATCTGGTTCCTCCCAACTCCTCCCAAGGCACAGTCTCAGACCCCATAGTAGATGATTCAGACAATAGAATGGGATGGACAACACAGCTATGGAATTGACTGAACCTGTTTAATTTAGGAGAGTTGAGCCATGCAGGAAGGGGACCATCTGTACTTAAAATTGATAAATAAGAGTCCTCCCACCCACATAAAAATACAAAAAAGTGCTAGTAATTTACCACTTTGCCTATTTGGTCAAATGTACTATTGATAAGATGCTGCTTAGTTCCTTATTTGTTTAATATTCACTTTTCCTCAAATCCAAACAATTTTATATTCTGTACTAAGTATACACAGAGTTGCTAAGGTTAATCTGATTTGATTTCGTCTTCTTCATTATACTGAGGCTCTATCACTGGAAATAGAAATGTCCCGGGTACATTATATAACAACAAAATTATATGCAAATGTAAAAATTAACTCATTCTAACTTGACTTATTGCTACATGAGCCTAGACTCCTCATCCACATAAAAATTATTCAGCCGCAAAAAGCCCTTGAGCATAACATGACATTTACAGCATCTATGAGTGTTTCTTGTTTATTTCTTGTAAATTTCCTTTGGTAATAACTTAGTAACTGAGAAGCATTATACAACATCCAAATACAGATTATCTTATATTTTATACAACACATGTTAAAGTAATTCATTTTCTCAGGCAAATGTCATACCATCTAGTTCATGGTTATGAGCCAAATATTTGTTCAGTCATTTGTTAGAAATATATGCATAACCACGGAACACTTTAGCTTCATTGTATTTAACAAATGTAATTTAAAGGGACATTATCAAAGTTGTTAAGGTTTTAACTTTCACTGTAGCAGTTGTTCCATTTAATTGCAGTTCCCGTACAGATTGTAACGGGGGTTTTTGTTGTTGGGTTGGGTTTTTTTGGCTTTGTTTTTTAATCTTTGCTACAGCATTTCACTTAATAAATTTAAATTTACTATGTTGGGCAGTGCATGGCAGGTAGCTTGTTATTTGTGCCCCAGGTTGGCAGGAGAGCGTGTGTTTCATTTTAACCCTCTTTCTAGTTGTTATTGACATGATTTTGAGCTTGCTCATTGTTTTGTTAGGAGGTATAGCAATTAAGGCTCTTTGGCTGATTTATAAGAACAGCTGAGCTTCATAAGAGGGTAAAGTGAATGGCAAGTTGGGGAAATAAACTTCTTCAATCTTTCATAGAACTCCCCCTCAAGGGCAGCAATTCAAGAGTCATTATTCTCAACCAGGAGAGTGAGTACAAGTTGGCATTACATCATCGAAACAGCTTCTCATTGGCAAATCATGTTGCAAGGGCATGAAAGCATTTCTGGCAGTTTCTAAAAGCTGTCTTTGCTCCTCCCATCCCAAATAAAACCTTTCATATACAATACACTTAACAATAAAAAAGTCCCTGAAAGTACTAAAATTAAATTGGAGCTGAGCAAATCAGTTCAGAGAACTTAAAAGCATAAATATAGCTGAGCAATTACAAATTCTCCTCAGACCTGACAAGCTTGGCTTTCCTGCACTGAACCAGAAATTTCCATGGAAATGTCCATGGAAAGTTCTGGGTGAGTAACCCTAACCTGTATAGCTTTCCTTATTTTTTTTTACACGCCACTAGTTCATCAGCCTATTCAGCCAATGGCTCTGAAAACAGCAGACCCAATTTTCTTCTCACTTACATAGGTTTTCTGCAAATGAAAACCCTTTTACTTCAGTGGAGTTACTTCTAATTTACACTGATGTAATCATGAGAAGTAGGTTCTGAACCTCCCGTCAGTGGCTGAAAGGCAGGCGACACTGGTGGCATGGCATAGAGGAAGGCATACAGACAAGACACTGGGTTGATGAACTCAAATGGATGGGCAATGGCCAAAATTAAATGAGGTTGCAAGGACAAAGAGAATAAGGATAAAGAACAATTGTGAGGTGGTGGAGAAGGGAAGATGGAAAACCACAAGGACTGGAAGTGGAAGGCAGAAAAGAAAGCAGAAGGGAGGCTAAATGCAAACACAAGAGAGAGGAGAAGGAACATTTTGACAGAGACAAAAATGGTGGGACTATACTGTATTTACAAGATACTTCCAGTAGAAGTAGGGAAGTTTAATGCTAGTGACAAGCATCTAAAATAGTGCATTCAGTTCTGGTCAGCCATGTTCAAATAAGTTGAATTCATACTGAGACAGAACCAATGGAGAAAAGTTACTAAGATGATTAGGGAGAAAGAAAGTATATATTAGAGGAGGACACTGAAAGAGCCTGCCTTTTTTCGCCCAGCAAAACAGAGTGGGGGCATGATTACTCTCTCTGAATGCATCAGGGATAAAATCCCAGGTGAGAAAAAAGGCTATTTAAGGTAAAGGACAATGTTGGTATAAGAATGAATTGGAGAGAAATAAATTTATCCTGAAAATGAGGAGAGTCTACCCTGCAGAGGAGTGAGGCTTTAGGAGAGACTTCTGATGAGAGCACTGGGGTCAAATACCTTGACTAGTTTTAAGATGGAGCTCAATCAGTTTTTGAAAGGGATGATAGGACATTGCTTTCTGTGAGAGTAGGGGGCTGGACTACATGATTCAGGAGGTCCCTTCCATTCCCTTGTACCCATGAAACTGCTGATTTTTAATAAATTTGGAAGCATTTGAAGTTCTCTCACCTCTACTTCTAAAACAATGTACTGTCTGCTTTAATACCTTACATTTCATTAATGCTTTTATAGACAGTGTACTATCCTATTCCAAGCAGAACAGACGATTCCTCAAAGCAGCTTTGATCAGTATCATACCTCAAAGCAGTCTGTAAGGATAGCTTGAAAGCTTTTTATTTAGAAATAAGTGGCATTTCCTTCAATATTTTCTTAATTGAAATAGATGCAGAATCAAGGGCAGAGTATAGGGGTAGCTTGAATGTGGAGTCCAAGCACACCCTTAAGCATTGATCAGTACTAGTTTATCAAGGCTATTTGGAAAATGAAAGCTTATATCAGACCCTGGGAATCAAATGGTTTTTATTTCTATCCACCAGCCTAAAAGAATAAGCAGGAAAATATAGAATTGGAGGGGATAAGGGAGGCAGAGGGAGACTGATAATTCCTTCACGTAGCTTCAGCTGATGGCAAATTTTCAAGGCAGACTCCAAGGGGAAACTTGGAGAACAGCCTGGGGAATTTTCAAAGGCAAAAAAGAGCATGTTAATACTTTTTGATGAGCACAGTCAGTAACTGGGCATTTAAGCAATTCATTGTATTTCAATTCTTATGTTTGATAAAGCTTACAATAGGGTATTCAGAATATGGACAAGTTTAATCAGTGAGAAAAATAAGAAGAAATTCTTCCAGGCTTTTCCTTTGGGCTAAATTTGTAACAGGACAGCATGCACACAACAGACATTTGCAAGATAAGTGTGTGGTTTTGTATTGTGGGTGGAAAGAGAGGTTGCCCAGGTATCAGACTAAGTGTACAGTGTAAGTGTAATGTATAACTTCACCCTGAGACTAAGGGTAACAGGATGGAGTGTGTTTACCTGTGCATCAATATGCTTTACTAAATATGCATTAAATCTAATACCTCCAAGCATTTATAGACATGCTCCAGGGGGTCAGGGAGTGCCTGGAGCATCACATGTGTCAGCATCCCTGCACTGAAAAATGGTGGCAGGGGCACTTTAACTAAATCATAGAATCACAGAATCATAAAAGTAGGGTTGGAACGGACCTTGTAGATCTTCAAGTCCGACCACCTGCCTGGGCAGGAGAAAAACTGGGCTCAAATGACTCCAGCCAGGTAGGCATCAAGCCTCTTCTTAAAGACCCCCAGGGTAGGAGCCAGTACCACTTCCCTTACCAGGTCATCGCCTGTGGCCAGAACCAGGTCCAACAGGGCATTTGAAGCTGAAATGAGATAGTTAAAGCACCCTCACTGCCATTTTTCAGTATGGGGATGCTGATATACGTGACACTGGATTCTGCAGAAGCACAGTGTTTACCACATTCCAGCAGAATCGATTAATTGAGTCTGTTCTGACATGTTATAATTACAATGCATCAGTGCAGCCTCTCTGCATGTGTATAGGTGCCCTCCATTGTGAGGTAGTAGGAAAATGTGCATTAGCCTGTCTTAATGTTCATTAACTTAAGAGCACAGTTTTTAAGTGACACTTAATACACATTAGCCTATTTTAACATGCATTAGCAAAAGTGCAGGGTTTTTAAGTGATGTTTAATGTGCATTAAAATAGGCTAATGAACATTAAAGCGCTTGTGTAAATGCACCCTGTTGACCATACTAAGGGCATTTAAAATGCAAGTGTCCATACATTAAAGCTTGCTAGCTCATGCTAAGTGTCCTCGAGTGTCTCAAAATTATGCCACTTCAGACTAGGATTAACTCTGGGCTGTGCTATCTAGCTTGTGTTAGGGTAACTTCAGCCTTCTGAGATAAATTTAACAATTTTCAATCCTCCAGAATCCCAGGATGTCCCTCTTCCAGCCCCCTATCTGCTCACCCCCCCCAACCAAGCAAGAATAGAACCCAGGTATCCTGGCTCCTAGCCACACCCCTGCTCACCAGCCCTCTAGCAAGTTAGCACTATGCAGGCAAGAAATGGTATTAAGCCTTAATGTGCAATTACTCACAGCACATTTTAACTTTAACACTGATGAACGTTCTGCAGATTTAGTATGGTCTAAATATAGCATGTAACTTCACCCCAAGAGGGAAGGGAGAGAGTTTAGTCACCTCTTCACCTGGCTTGGTGCCATTCTGGTCCTGCTTGTACCTACTTTGAACTCTGACATTACCATTCTGTTTCTGGGCACTGTACCTTTAAATATAGAAGTGTTTTTCTACAGCTGCAGGGCTGGCTGGGAGGCAACTGCCATTTTATATGTTGGAGTTGCAGAACATTACAGTCTGAGTCAGAAGGCTGTCACTGTCATGGGCACTTTAAATGTGTTCTTTCCACATTGCCTTCTTTAAATGCTTTCTTTAAAGGGAGGAAGGAGAACCCAGGTAACTATAGGCCCATGAGTCTTACCTCAGTCCTGGGGAAGCTTTTTGAGAGAATTATCTTGGTGCAAGTCCACGAGGGGCCAGCAAGAGAGACTTTGCTCAGGGACAATCAACATGGGTTCATTAGGGGCAGGTCTTGTCAGATCAACCTGGTGACCTTTTATGACCAGGTCACCAAATCCTTAGATGCAGGTGGTACAGTGGATATAGTCTTTCTGGACTTTAGGAAGGCCTTCGACACTGTCTCTCACCCCATTCATAAAAAAAAAAATAGGAGATTGTGGTGTCGACACCTACACAGTCAGATGGGTCACTAACTGGCTGGAGGGCTGCACCCAGAGAGTGGTAGTGGATGGGTCACTTTCGACCTGGAGGGATGTGGGCAGTGGGGTCCCCCAGGGTTTGGTCCTCGGGCCTGCACTGTTCAACATCTTCATCAGAGACTTGGCCGAGGGGGTATAAAACACCCTGTTCAAATTCACAGATGACACCAAGATGTGGGGAGAAGTGGGCACACTAGAAGGAAGGAATAGGCTGCAATCGAATCTAGACAGGTTACAGGGGTGGGCCGATGGGAACAGGATGGGGTTCAACACTGACAAGTGCAAGGTGATGCACCTAGGGAGGAAGAACCAGCAGCATACTTACCGGCTGGGGAACTCCCTTCTTGTCAGTGCAGAGGCAGAAAAGGATCTTGGAGTCATCATTGACGCCACAATGAACATGGGCTGGCAGTGTGGGGACACAGACAGGAAGCTAACTGCACCTTGTCATGCATCCACAGATGCATCTCGAGCAGGTCCAAGGAGGTGATCCTGGTCCTGGTCAGGCTGCAGTTGGAGTACTGCGTCCAGTTCTGGGCGCCGCACTTCAGGAGGGATGTGGACAACATGGAGGGGGCCAGACGAGGGCCACCCGCATGATCAGGGGTCAGCAGGGCAGGCCCTACAAGGAGAGGCTACGGGACCTGAACCTGTTCAGCCTCCACAAGTGAAGGCTGAGGGGGGATCTAGTGGCCGTTTACAAACTAGTCAGAGGGGACCAGCAGGCACTGGGGGAGTCCCTGTTCCCCTGAGCACTACAAGGAGTGACTAGAAACAACAGACACAAGCTGGCAGAGGGTAGATTTAGGCTAGATATCAGAAGGCGCTACTTCACTGTCAGGGCGGCTAGGACCTGGAACCAACTTCCAAGAGAAGTAGTGCTGGCTCCTACCCTGGGGGTCTTTAAAAGAAGGCTGGATGAACACCTTGCTGGGGTCATTTGACCCAGTACCCTTTCCTGCCACAGCAGGGGGTCGGACTTGATGATCTGCTCAGGTCCCTTCTGACCCTACCAACTATGAAACTATGAAATCTAAAGTAAATGTAATCTATTTTGAGGTGTATGAGTTTGGTGCTTCATGCATCAGAAAACATAACAGGGCAGCCTCCATTAAGTGCTAAACAATAGTTATTGCTACTGAGTAGTGTATTAATACTTCCCTCCTGCTGACTCTTTACTTTGTTGTGTCTGTTCCATTTCACAGGGCTTTCCTAGCCTTCTTTGCAATTATTGCATGTTTTATTAAAAGGGTACTAACAGTTCTACTGCAAAAGCCACATTCTGACCCTGAGGATAATTATATGCTTTACTTTTACATGCACATTGTGAGTATAGATGCACTCAGGCTAATCTACATTGTGGGAGTGAATAGGAGCTGTAATGCTATAGTGGGCGAATCTACGTGTACATTAATGCACTGTTGCTACTGTGCATTAAGTTTAGTACCTGCAATAACAGGTACTAACTAAATGTTCAGTAGCCAACGCTAATGCACAGGAGTGCTGGCGCAGTCGTCTGGTGATGCTTAATGTGCAGGAGAGTAATTCTGTTGCACATTAGTGTATCAGCACGGCTTTTGCTGTGATGTGCTAATGCACAGTAGAATTAGTCTACTGTATATTAAGCGACTCTTGTAGACATGCCCAGTGTGCCCCAGATCCCACTGAATATATACCATTGTTACGTATCAAAAGTTCTTCAAGTCTGAAAGTTTTATGTTGATTTTTACTGGTGTTTCTTGGTAGTGGTATGATTTTTTTAAAGCTCTCCATAAATTCCCTACTGACTTCAATGGCAGCAGAACTAGCAAGGGTTGAAAACATCTGAAAATCTCACTTATATGAACCAAATACATCTATCAAACTGGCATGAGCTTTCAAACATGTTAAATGTGCCATTCTGTCTGACACAATGAAACTTGACATCTGAGCCTTTGTGCTGGTGTTCATGAGATGATGTGCTTTTACCATGAAATATTTCATGTAATAGCTCAGATTCTCCCTTGCTCTATGACAGACCTCTGTGAGAAGGTCACTTTGATATAAAAAGATTCTCCCAGTGGTGCGGATTTGACTTAACAGGGACTATGCCATCCCATTCCTTGCAGCTGGCAGGGCCACCGTGGCTAGGAGAAAGGGGTTATGATCTCCTGGATGACCAGCATAGCCTATGGCCAGCCTAGGACCCAGCGACACAAAAATGACTTTTCTTTTCCACTTTCCTGGGTTTAATGCACTTCTAGGTAGTAGCCAAAGTTCAGGGTCATTATGGTTTGTTTCATGACTTGGCACTGAAGAGCTATTTTGCAATGTTATGTGTTAATTGACTGTACGGGGCAGAAGGAACGAGGTAATGCAACAGTAGAAACAGGGACTGAATGATTTTTAACAATGAGTTAGCAAGAATTCCTCATTTTTTTCAGTGGAGCCCTATGCTTGAAAACTGATGATGAGATTTGGTCCATGTTAAACTGAAACAAATAAGAACATCACGATTTGTCTCTCTTCCATCCAAGTAAAATAATCATGAATTTTTTGTTTTATAGATCTTGATTTCTTGCCCAATTCCCACATCATTATCTGAACAAATATTTGAAGTTAACCCCCTGTAGAACTCATTCTTCAGGGTGATTGTTTTACGGGCTTCTATCTTCTAAGCAAGCCAAACCCAAGAAAGTACATATCAGTAGCTGAGACACTTTAATTTTAATTTGTTGTTTATTAATATGCGTGTGTGTGTTACATTTAAGGTAATACTTAACTCCTAATTAATCATAAGGTACATCTACAAAGCAACTCTGATAGTGGTTGTAGTTTCGGTAGATATAAGCTATATAGCTTATATATAGATATATAGCTTTAAACTAGCCACCTCTGGAATGGTAGTAGTATAGCAACAGCACTATTTGCCAGAGAAGCTGAGTAAATACTCCAGTATTTAGCTCTATGTATGCTATAGTTGTGCTTCTAACAATAGTTATCTGAGATAACCAGTTTAAGCTGGCTCACTTACATCTTCACAGGCTGCACGACACCTTTGACTGAAATGTAGACAAACATTTAGGATAAGAGGATGTTAAACAATATTGGGTTAGTGAAACCCTCCTGACTTAAGGCTACACTGATGTCATGTCAATAAAATCAGTCCTTTCTCTCACATTTAATCATTTCTGCTGTTCCCACCCATTTTATATAGGTGGAGACAGACACAGACCATTTCTTCGTTCTGAAGAGCAAACAGAGGGTCAGATTTTGGGTGCTATCACCCTGATTGGGAAACAATGTAGAGCACTGACCTAAACAAGCTGCGAATGAAAGTAGAAGTTCTGATTAGCTGAAGATTTTACAGTGAAAACAAGGGGGAGTTTGAAGTTGGTTTTCCAATTTCCTGTATTGGTGTGAATCAAGACATGCATGGCTGAATTCTTACTTCAGTGAAAAAAACGTTATAAATCATAAGAAACTCTGGCCCTTTGCTACAAAATATCCAATGGTAAGAGTAGATTTATTCAAACTGCATCAAGTAATTAGACAAATGTTGTTAGTGGTTTCAAGTTTGCTTGTAAAATACAATTAGAACCACTATTTTTCTCATTTAAATGCAGCAGTAACATATTGTAATGTTTTTTCCTCCCTCTGGTTTCCCTTCTGCCATCTCCCTTTTTTTGTACTGTTCAATCTATTTTGCAGACAGAATAGCCCATATCCAACATGGCTTAGGGACCTCCACTTTTGCTGCAGAGTCAGAGTTTGTGGGTGAGGAAGTTAAGTCCCCTTTAAATGGTTCATTTTAAATTCCTTTTGCCCATTGATGCAGAGGGTGTGTTTGGGTGGAGGGAAGAGGGCAACCAGTTGTGACCTGGCCACGTGCCCATACTGGCTTATAAAATCCAGCTCGGGGAGACTGGGGCCACTGCTGGTGAAGGGTTTCAGTACCTCCCTTCAGGAGGACAGGGTTCTGGACATTTTTAAGTCTGTGACTGTCCACCCCCACTCAAGAAAATATTGCTTGACACTGAATCTCCAGCCAATTTTCATCCTTCTCTAACCCTTCCTCCGCACCCCACCTCCCTCCCACCCTTTCTGGGGAAGGTCAGTGAAAGGGTGTTTGCCCAGCAGCTCCAGGAGCATCTAAATGCCATGGGATTCTTAGGGCCCTGTCAGTCTGGCTTTTGGCCTGAACAGAGCACAGGTACCATGTTCAACAAAGGAAACATTGCCCTGCTTTTCTTACTAGATCTTTCAGTGACTTTTAATACAATTGGCCTTGAAGTACTGATAAAGTGTTTACATGAACTGGTGGTATTTGTAGGACTGCTCTACATTGTTTCTGCTGTTTCTGAGCAGGAAAGTCCTAGAGGGTGGTGATGGTCGAGTGCTTAGGACCTTAGGACCTTTCCTATGGGGTCCCCATGGGCTACATCTTGTGACCTCTCCTGTTCAATGTGTATATGAGGCTTCTGAGTGAGATTATGCAGATATTTAGAGTGAGGTGCCATCAGTATACTGATGACACCCAGCTCAACCACTCCTTCTCTTCTGAAACCTCAGTTTTTTTTCCAGTACCTTACTGCAGGTGAACCAACTGAAACTGAATCTAGACAAGACAGAGTTGATGCTGGTGGACAGACAGTTTGACATGGGAGAGAATGAGATACCTATCATTGAAGGGGTTCAGCCTCCCCTTGTCAGTATGGTTAGGAGTCTGGGGGTACCCCTGGGTCCTCTGCTGCACCTTGATCTTCAGGTAGTGGCTGGGGCTAGGAATGACTTTCACCAGCTCCATCTGATGAGAAGGCTGTGACCAACCCTTTCTTTCAGATTCAGGTCTGACTGGCATCATCCATACCATTGTAATTTCCAGGCTATACTACGGCAATGTGCTCTCCATGGGGCTGTCGTTGGGAACTGTCCGGAAGCTGCAGCTGGTACAGAATATGGTTGCCCACCTTTTGATGGTGGGGGAAGATGGGGCATGTTGCAAGGATCACATAACTGCAGGGCTCCAGAATCTGTACTGGCTCTCAGTAGCTTTTCAGGCACAATTCAAAGTTCTGGGTTTGATGTAGAAGGCCCTAAACAGTCTAGGTCCTACATGCTAAGGGACTGCCTTCTCCCTTATGTTTAGGGTGACCTGACCATACGTCCCAAGCAAACCCCGCTCCAGTACACCTGCCTTTCTCATGCATAGCAGAAGTGGTGCCTGCTCAACTGCTTGCCTGGTGCATCATGCCTCTCCACATCCCCACTGGACTCCACTCTAAGACTTTTGACCAGCTGGCCAGGACCAGACTGTGGAAGCTGGGACAGTCCCAATTTGCCCCAGACATCTGGTCACCCTACTTATGCTCTATCACTATCCTTAAGGTTAGCTGAGAACAACTTCCTTCAAGTGCCATCAATGTGCCAAGTCTACTTGACAAAAATGCATGGGAGGTCATTTGCAATAGTCACCACTCAGCTCTGGAACTTCCTCCATCTCAAGACCTACCGAAGCCCAAACCTGCACATCTTCAAGAAGGGCTGTAAGACCTTCCTATTTGGGCAGGCATTTAGCAAACAAAGCTAGGCTGAGATAGTGTTTAATGGATTTATGTTTTATATTTTCTCCTGTTTTATAAGCATTTTCCCTGTTTATATAAGTTATTCTGTTCTCCTATTTAAGTTGCCCTGAACCTCTGTTGAGAAGGGTGACATATGAATCAAGCAAACAGCATTATTATTCTTTGCTTTTCTTAGAGTATTGTCAGAATGTATAACTAATTTCATATTACTTGCCACTGTTGTCAGTGAAATATTAATTTAACAAAGGCATTTTACAAAAAGTTCTTTTCAGTAAAGACACTAGTAAATTTGGTTTGTGTTTGGCTGCATTCTTGAGTAAACTTAAAGAAGATCAAGTGATAGCTGTGAGAAATTAATCCTAAAGGAAATTTGGTTGGGAAAGAGAAATGATTGTTTTAGTCAAGATATACTATCACTTCATTTCTGAAAGCAAAAAATGACTAAGTGTGATGGGAAATATTTGGAACGGTGTTTTTTGGTTTCACAGAAGAACTATCCAGAGAAATAGGGCCATGTGCTCACCTCAGCTGCTGCAACAAGTAGGACAGAAGGAAAGTCCTCAGAGCACAGAAGAAACATGCAGGCAGGCCAGGGTGATGGTGGGGGATAGGTATGCTTGTTCTCTCCCACTGCAACAGCCTCTGCCCTCCTGGTGGCCTCTAGGCAGGAGCTAATCTTCATGGGTATGATAGAGCACTTTTGGTTCCTGTCACTTTAAGGGCTTTGAGTGGCAGCAGGGTAGCCAGCAGGTGCAGGCCAGCTCTGAGGAAGTAGTCACATGACCTGGTGAGGGCCATGCAATTGGAGGAGAGAGCTGAGCAGACTCCATTTTAGCTCAGGCACTCAGGGCTGAGCCAGCAGTCTGCTGCTAGCAGCCAGCAGAAAAACATCTGGCTGACTGGTGGCTTAGGAACACCTTGGAGGGCAGGGCAGGAGCTATGGGGATGGCAGGAGGTTCCTGGTCCTGGGTATGACTTGAAACTGCACCCTGTTGGGTAAGGATGGCCTGGTGAAGCTGCCTGTGGTGGGGCAACTTCCCAGAAATAGCAGGCCAGTTGCCTTCCCAGTGAAAGGTGGGTAGGGGTGCCTTATAACCTTAGTCCCCACTCCTCAGTGTAATAGAATAGATAGTGGGGCTAGGCACACCAAGGGAAGGCATTTGAGTCTCTGGGGGTGTAAGACCCCAAGCCCCAGGAAGGGGACATAGAGTTAGCCCCAGTGAGGGGTAGACAGTGGCCTGAGGAAGGGGGGCAGAAAGAGCCTAATGCCCGATGAGGGGCTAGTGGCTAGAGTCAGCCTAGTGTTAAGCAGAAGGACCATCACCTGTAGAGTAGGCTGCAGGAGGCACCCAAAGGGCTGCGGGGGGATCGCCCAGAGTGGAAGTAGGCAAGCCTGATGGCCTGAAGGGGCCACTTAAGAGGAGCAGGGCAGGTTGGGAGTGGCCCAGTGTGGGGCAGCAGTATGAATGAAGCCCTGTGAGAGGGGGTGGAGTGTATACATAGTGTGAGAGGCCCAGCTTCTGGCCAGAGCAGCTAATAATTTAGATGCCATCTGTGAGGCATGGGACATGGTAAAGGTAGGTCAGATCTGTGTGTAGACCCCACAGCATTGGGGCATTAAATGTGCAGCCTCCCACTTATTTCATCTTGTATTATTGAACAGCAAGTTTTGGCAGGCAAGACAGGGCGGACTGCCCTAGACAGAGGGGTGGACTGGCACTGCAACTGGCCACATGATCTTCCTTGTCACTGTGGAGCTGGAGATTTTGGTGAAGTTTGTCCAGGAAAAATATCACAGGACTCGCTGTTCACTGTAGCATGTTCCCTTGAAATGCAGCGTACTTTATAATGATGTAATTAAATGCATTAGCTACCTTATTTACTGTTACTCTATAGGCACATCTACATGAGACGTTTACTGTGGAGTTGCCTAATTAGCTCCGCAGTAAACTCTCGGTGTCTACATGTGTGGTCACAGGAAGATAATAAACATTGCTAGAGTACTTGTCAACACAAGTACTATCATGCAGCAGTTATTTTCTGTGCAGCAATGAATGTATTACACAATTGACAGGGCTGGCGGGGGCACAAGGGTGCTTCAGTGTGGGAGCTACCTCCTGGCTAGCCTCCCTCTGGAGCACCTTTGTATCCCAGCTAGCCCCTTCGCCACCCGTGGAGTCAGGTTGGAGCAGCCCTGGGCTGGCGGGCTGACCCCCTGGGGCTGCTCCAACCTGGCTCAAAGTAGTGCAGTCCTGGGCACACATGTAAATGTGGTGCCTGGGAGCAATAAACTTTGATGTGAACTGGGCCAGAGTTTATTCAGATGAACTAATAGCATGTGTAGACACACCTAGAGTAGCAGTCACTCTTATGCATGCTTTTTACACATGTAGGCTTTAACTGCATTAGGAAAAATGGGAGGTGTAATTCTTCCCCAGGTGTTCTTGTGCAAATTTGTAGCAATGTACTCTTTTGGCTCTGTCAAGGCTTCTTAACTGTCCTGGAACTTCGGAGTTCCATGATACCCCTTCTGTGCATTTTTATACAGGAAGAGAAACATATGGCTCACAGCAAATAACATGTTTTTTCAGAATGTTAATTGTACTAAGTGTGGCTTTCAAAATCTCACTTGCAACTTACTCAAGATTTATAACAGGATCCTCATAATAGTATAAAGCTGTCTCTTATTGCTCAAGACAGATGAAAACATAAAGAGGAACCAATTTTTGTATAATTTCAAAATATTTTTGTAATCTGACAATTTGAGATGATCAATTTAAGGACATTATTGAAAAAAAAATAAAGTACACTCGAGAAAGGTTTAATTCCTACTTATTTGCATCAAATCTGATAGGGCTTTAATAGAGGCAGGAAATAGAGAAGGAAAAATAAATCAAGCAAATGAAAAGAGCCACATTCACTTTTGTATCTTCCTGGATTTATATAACTAACAAGAATAAGCCCTGCAATACTTTTTCAACTCTTTTTCTTACAGCTGAAGTACTAAAGGTATTTTATTAATATAATAATGTCAGTGAAACAGCCTATTCGTTAAAAAAAAAAGTCCATGAACAATTATTGTGAAACATTGCTATTCTGCTTATGATTTTTCTTTGTATAAGGTGGTACTGGGGTGCTTACAGCAAAATAGGCTAAAATGGAAGTCCCATTAAATTTTCTTAGGAATTCAAAGGATAGAAATAATTTCTCACCATCAGTTAATGGTGAAATGTATTAGACATGAAAACTGAGCCCTCCTTTTAATGGTGGGTATCTTGCCCTCGGGCAGGCTAACAGTCAGTATGATTTGTTGACACTGGCTCCATGGAGGCCTTATCTAAAGAAGCCACCATGTTCGTTCAATATTACAAAAAGAACATGAACATATTGGCACGTCGGCATTTCAAAATGTTTTGTGTCAATGTGTTTGAGACCTGCTTTTTCAAATGATAGCTACCAACACTGAAAGTTTTGTTTCCTGAGTATGCTAATTTAGTAGACCCCCCGATTACAAAGCACCCATAGAATATGAGTGAGTCAGATTTTTTCTTAAATG